TTTTTCATTTTCTCATATTTTTTCTTTTCCCTCATTTCCTTTCCCCTACCCTTCCCACTTCCCCTACACCTTGAGCCCTTTTCATGGTTCTAGAGACTGGAAAGTTTGAGATAAGGCACCGGTAGCTTCCGGATCTAGAGAGGAAGTAACCCCTTTCTCCTCTCCCCCGGAGTGCACATGGTCAGGGTTGCATTAGCCTGGGCAGGATAAGGAAGACTCCGCTGCTGTGTGGCTCTCTCTCTGTCATCTCTGTTGCTCTTTAAAATGCTGTATTTTAGAAAGTGGTTTCCATTTCCCTTTCAGATGTGCAGGCCAACCTCAACTTGTGGGTTGCTTGGATTACAGAGGAACTTGTCGCGCCCCCTTTCCTTCAGTGTCCCTCTCATCATCAGTCGTCAAGGCTGGTTGTTTGAGGACCTCTTCTGAGTCGGACTAGGATAACTCAGAAGGGGAGTGTCCTTAGGGAAGGCCTGGCACTGGGACTTTGCTATCCATTTTAGGGTTAGGGAATGCAGTGATTTTTACTGGAGGAGAAGGAAGCAAGTCCGTATGTCTTGTGTCCCTGCTGGTCTACACTGTAATACTGCACCCATCATTGTGACTGCTGATAATTTCAATGAAATAAACTTGGCCACCTTGTGTGGTAGTCACCACTGCTCTATTCCTGGAGGCGCTGAGATGGCCCTGGAACCAGCTTGCTCTCTGAAGGCTACGAGTTAGCCACCTTGGTGGTACTTTCCGACACTTCCTTACACTTCATCATCCTCCAACAATGCAAAACAGCAAAGAAAAACTACCCAGGGGTCCTGCCTTCAAGAAGCCCAGGGTGATGGTGATCCTCTCTTTAACCTTGACTGTTTCCCCAGGGTTTAATCTGTGATCTAACACTGCTGAGGAGCTGAAACAAGGGTCTTTCTTCCTGCTCAGTGGAGAGAGGTCCCTCCTGTGTCCATAGAGCCAGGCTCCCATCTGTACCCCTGGGGAAAATGAACCAGAGCCAGATGTGGGATCTATCACTTTGCTCAGTCTCTAATTCACCAGGGCCTTGCAGAAGGAAGTTCTTTATCCTTATTGGAGTGTTGGGCACAATAATCCTTAGGGGCCATTTGACTCTGGAAGACCCTCTTTCCACAACCAGGCCAGTAAGGTGGGAAGGAAGTGAAATCTTGGTGCAGGTTAGATAGTGTGTTTCCCAGTACCCAGCACAGCCTGCAGGAAGAGCCCAGCATGAGGAGTACTGAGTCGTACCTTGGGACAGGACAGAACAGCAATTTTTGGGTAGGAAGATGACCTCATGAATCTCAGGTTCCTCAAAGACTTTTATCACTAGGTGATAGAGCTGGGCCATGGGCCTCAGTACCTGACTTTACTACCAAATTCAGCTCTTAGGAGGCTCAGGTGAACTCCCGGCCATGAAAGTATAAGGCAGGATAGAAAAACAAGGAAGGGAGAGCCATTTGGTCACGGCCAAGTGTGGGAGTTCACGGGAGGAGGGTTGGTGGCTCACTTCACCTTGGGAGTCCCTCCCATGGGACACAGGTGCTATGATGCCAGGCAAAGCTCTGGATGGTCAAGAGCAGGCTTGGTATCTACACTGGGCCAGGTAGGGCAGGACCATTTACTAAAGTGTTGAAACCTGAGGCACTGTGTAGAAATGGCTGAGGCCTCAAGCTCTCTGAGTGCCTCCAGCCACCCTGGTGTCAGGGCCTCCCGGCCCAGTCAGCCTGCTCCAGCCCCTGGGCTCTGCCCCCTGTCTCCGGTGACCTCTTGACCAGGGTGCACTCAGGTAGGAAGATACACTTTGGGCCCCTGAGGCTGGTGGAGGCCGCTGCTGCTCCCCCGGCTCACTCTCGCGTGGTGGCCGTGGGGACTCCTGCCTCTACTGTGAGCTGTGCCGGGTGTTAAGTACACAGTCAGGCATTGCGACGGCAGGGCTACGTTCTAAGGAATTCTTTGTTAGGCAGTTTTATTCCTGCACGAACGTGACAGAGAGCACTTGCACAGACCTTGGTGCCGTAGCTGGCCGTACACCCAGCCTCCACAGAATGGATACACAGGACAACCATGCATGACAACACGAGATGAAGGCGAGCACGAGAGGAAATGGTGCAGTCGGAGACATGGGGAATGAGATGTCTGAGGTTCCTGTGGGTGTAACACCGAGTGCCATCTGTGGTAAACTTTGTTTTTAATAAGTAGAAGGAGTACACTCTAAGACAGTGGTAAAAATACACCAGACGCGGCTGTACTCCACGTCCCACGTACCACTCGTGGTTATAGGTGCCATACTTTTGTACGGTGGCAACCCAGGTCGTTTGCATCAGCACCGCCGCGTGCGTGGGGACGATGTGCTGTGCTATGCTACGATCCCACTAGGCGATCGGGACTTTTCAGCTCTGCTACAATTTTATGGGGTTGGCATGATACGTGCAGCCAGTCATCGATCGAAACCTCGTTATGAGGTTTGTATGTTCACCGTCACCCCTGGACACAAGGAAGAGGTAGTCAGGTGAGGACACCTGTTCTGGGCACCCGACCTCTCCACCGTAGTCAGGTCCTGGCAGGCTTGCAGTCACCCTCAAGCGCAGGACAGAGGGTTTTGAGTGCCAAATCCAGCCCATAGAGGATTCTGCAGGGGCCTGGCACCACCTTCCCCCGCAGGGTCCTGAGTATGGCACAGCAGATTGCCAGTTTCTTACCCTCTTTCTTGCACCATGCCTGGCATGAGCTCCCTGCACCCCCTCTGAGAGCTGAGTCCTGTTGGGAGCATCTCTGCCTCTGCCCTCTGCGGGCACTTGGCAGGGTGAGGTCCCTGCTTCCCTTGGCCAGTTCCTGCCACAGCTAATCTCCTCCCTGTGGCCCATTCCTGGCACTGAGCCCTCCCTGGCAGAGCAGGCTGCATGTGGAGTGTCTGCCAGGCAGGCCTGCTTCCACCCCTGGCACCGGTCCCGTTTCCCCAGAATCCTTTCTGGGCAGCCGCATCCTTCACAGAATTCTCCTGGGAGCTCCAGAAAACCTCGCTAGGTAGCAGTGCTGATTGCATTCCTGGATCCTCTCTTCTGTGTCTCCGGTGTCTGCCTCCCATCCCTTAAGACTTTCGTATTTTCTCTTGTTAGACATTCAGCAGCCCCTCAAAGGGTGAATGGAATTCTGAGCCTGCAGAGTCCTGGAGTGGGCAGATTTCCCTACTGGTCTATTCATCTGCTGGCTTGCATCAATGAAGGGACCTTTGTGGGAGAGTATGTCCCCAAGCATATGGCTGGAGCATATCACTCTGAGACCTCTTCTCCTGGTGATGAATCTAAGAGGTCAGGAGAATCTGGAGCCTTCTGTGGCTCCCTGGATGCCTGACATGAAACTAGGAGAAAGAGCTTTGGGGTCACCAGTAGGAGGCTGGAGAAAGGGGTAGTTGCCAGCATCACAAGGCTGCACAGACATTCTTGCCTTGGAGAGTGCACAGGACTCTATGTGACAAAGGAGCACTCCCTAGAGAGAAACTTGGATGTGGGGATAGAATCAGCCAGCTAATTTTCAGGTTAGATCTGTCTGCATGTCTTGAATACCAAAATTTTTTGGGGAAATGCTGTTATCCAAATGCCGGTGAGCAAGCTTCCTGGTGCCTTAGAGAAGACTACCACTGGCCATTTTGCTAAGACTCGGTGACACTTGGGGAGCGCCTCAGCTCCCTTATCTTGGCTGGCCTGCTCCTGTCAATGGTCTGCCTGGGCCCAGAGCTGCCAAGGGCTCTATGGTGTGGTCCTCTTTCGCTTGCCCTTCTATTAGGTTTCCCTAGGATGGGATGGGGCTGGTGGAGTGATTTGTGGACCTTTCTTGGACAGGCATGCCCCCTGACTGTGGGGTCACTTCTGGGAGATGGCCCCTTTCTTCCTGTCACTAGCTCCTTCCTGCCTAAGGTTCCCTGTGTTCTCTGAAGTAGGGGGAATAGGAAGAATTTCTTTTGGACCAGCTGGTGTTCCCAGTGCAGAAGAGGGGAAGAGCATCCTGAGCCTGAGGTCAGCTCCTGAGAAGCTGAATGTGGCCTGGGCAGGTGCTGGCATTCAGGCTGAGAGGAAGACTCTAGAGCCAGAGAGGGTTGACAGCTGAGGAAGGAAGACAGCATTGTTGAAATGCAGTTCCTTTTTTCCCCCTTGATGTACTGGGGATTGAACCAAGGGAACATTGAACTACTTCTCTAGCCTTTTAAATTTTAGTACAAGGTCTTGCTAAGTTGCCCAGTCTGGCCTCAAACAACTCAGCCTCCTAAGTAGCAGGGATTACATTTATGTGCCACCATATACGACAGGATGCAGTTCTCTGCTGGAGGTGAGCCCAAGTGTAAGGCCCTTGGTGCTTCTCCCTGGGAAGAACCCACCTTCTTACTGGGTTACCCCAAACACCCACCTTACTGACTGTTGCGGCCCCTTCCTTCCACAAAGTTGCCAGAATTTGCCTTTGCCTCAGCTCAGGGAGTCACTTCTGCCACAACTGTCCTCACGCTGCAGCCTCTGCTTTCCCTTAGCCACTGTGGGTTGCCTGCCAGCCACAGATTTTCCTGTCTGCCCTTCTGGGTGCACGTGTGTGTCCACTACAGTGCACGTGTACTTGTACTGTGTACTTGGTCATGTGTCTGTGACTTTGTACTCCCTCTAGCTTCATAGGTACTTATTTGGAGAAGCATTACTACCGCTAGAGGGAACAAGGAGGGCCATCTTTTTTCTTTTTCTAAGTGTCACATTTGATTAGCTAGCCCCCCCCCCCAGCCCCATTCCAGCCGGCTCTTGTTCCTGAGACTGAGCAGACTCCCCCGCCCCCAGCCTTTCTGCACCCTCTCTGAGGGCCTCATTCCTGGAGGCTGGCTCCTCCTCTCTGATCCCTGCAGGAGGGTGGAGGGTGGTGTGGGACTGTGCTGCCCTCTGTGTGTGAGGCGTCCCTCCTCCTCCTGGGCTCCCGGCCAGACTGACATCAGAGCTGGTTTCCCAGGCTCATGCTAAGGGATCCATTTGTGGGCTCATGGAGATGACCAGGAATGGGGTGAGGCAGAGACTGTGACTACTGGAGTGCTTTCCTCCAGACTAGGACGTGCCAAACTGCAGCCATCTGCATATGGGCATCAGAGCTGCCCTCCTGCTCGGATTTCAAGAGTTTCTTGGGTTGGCTCTTTCTTTTGGACTGGAGATCGAACTCAGGACTTTGTGCTTGAGAAGCAGGCAATGGCTTAGCTCTTTATTCTTTGGAAGATGTATTACCTTATTCTACTCTGTTACCAGTTATCCTACAGCTTCCCATCTGATGTTTTGAGCTCAGTGTGTGTGTGTGTATATATACATATGCATATTTTTTTGAGACAGGGTCTCACTATGTAGTTGAGACTGACCTGGAACTCACTATGGTCTCGAACTCACAGAGATCCTTCTGCCTCAGCCTCCAGAGTGCTGGGATTATAGGTGTGTGCCACCACACCTGGCGAGCTCAGTATATATTGATATTTATCTCTGCTCCTTTTCCTGAATCATTTAAGGCACTTAGGTCATTTTATTTTCATCCTGCCTTGTGTGCTTTTCTTTTAAAAATATTTTATTTTGTTATTCTTCATTTATAATTTTAGAGTTAGACAATTTGCAAAAATTAGCACCATATACAATATTTCCATATAGTCCTTTCTTAGATTCTACACATTAATATGTTACCATATGTACCTTATACTTCTATCCATCCACTATGTAATATTCTTGATGGAACTCTGAGGGCAAATTGGAGGTGTGATACTATATAGCCTCTAAATATGTACCTATGTATTTCCTCAAAAAACATGGACACTTTCTCACATAATCATCAATACTTATCAAAAGTGGTTATTAATATGACATCCCACTGTAATCTATAAACCTTTATTCAAATTTCTGAAAGGGAGAATATATGTAATTTAAAATATGTTTGTCTAAAAACTCTGCCCAAAGACTTCTAGACTTAATTGACACTTTCAACAGAGTAGCTGGATACAATGTCAACACCCAAAAATCAATAGCCTTCTTGTACACAAATAATAGACTCATTGAGAGAAAAATTAGGGAAACATTTCCTTTCACAATAGCATCCAAAAAAATGAAGTATCTAGGAATCACTCTAACAAAGGAAACAAAAGAACTCTACACTGAAAACCACAGCACTCTGAAAAAAGAAATCAAAGAAGATATAAAAAAATGGAAAGATATCCCCTGTTCCTGGGTAGGAAGAATCAACATAGTGAAAATGGCCATACTTCCAAAACTGCTATGCAGATGCAATGCAATCCTGACTGAAATTCCAATGGTATATCTCACAGAACTAGAGAAAACAATCCAAAAATTC